CTACCTTGGCTTCACTCACTAAGGATTTCCTCCACACTCTCCACTAACAACAACAAGGGTGACTTAAAGGAGCCACTCAATCCTTTATAAGAAAAAGGGTGTTTCTCTCAAATCTCATCCCTTTACACTTAAACCCCATGAATCCTCTCTATAAATCACTCTTGAAAGATTAATCACACCCCTAAGATCACTCATAAATTGAACAAGAAGAGGATTACAAGTAAAGATCTTTCAAAGATCAAAAACTCAAGTTAAAGCTCATGTAGTAAAGATATTCAATATAATGCTTTCTAAACCTCCTTTAGATCTTCTACCAACCATACTTATAACCCCATGGTCGAAAATAGCCGTTACTAGCCGTTAGGGGTCATTTAATGCTCTGCAGGACATAAAGCTCAAGTTGCAGGATTGTCAGGAGAGCTGGCTTAACTTCCTAGAGCCGGCTCTGCACATTCTGTTTTTCTTGAGAGCCGGTTGCAAAACTTTAAGCTGGCTTTGGAACTCCGACTTTAAATACATTAAATATTCTTCAAATAAGTCGACCGTTGTGCATTAAGTGCACCCTCATAGCTAGCTACAAAGTGGGAGTTGGCTCTGCTTCCATTTTCCGCGCGCGCCAAAACAGCAGATGAATTTCTGGCCTGTAGAGTCGGCTCAACAAAATTTGCAACCGACTCTCTGCATTTTTGCTTCCTAGAGCCGGTTGCAATTTTCTTAAGCCGGCTCTTCGCATATTTTTACTCTTTGAGCCCTTTTTAATGCAATCTCATTTTGCTTACTTTGCAATATATTGGTAATTTAACTACACACTTAAATAAATCAATTAGTCACTCAAATGTGTTTTGTAATCATCAAAATCATAGGTACAACATCTTAACCTTTTTACCTCTTTCTCTTTGTTAAGAACATTACATTTTGTTGATATACCTCATTCTTACTAGGAGGCTGTTAGCATTCCTTGTTGGAATGAGGCTATGGATTTTGAATTAAGTGCCTTATTGGAGAATGATACTTGGGATATGGTACGTTGTCCTTCTAGTGTGTCTGTTGTTGGTAGTCGGTGGGTCTTTTTTGTTAAGCTCAAAGCAGACGGTAGTATTGAGTGGTATAAGGCAAGACTTGTTGCCTAAGGTTATAAGCAAGAGTATGGAATTGATTATATAGAAACATTTTCACTAGTGGTTAAAATGACTACAGTGAGATTACTTATTACTCTTTTGGCAAGGCATCAGTGGCCTATTTCTCAAGTGGATGTGAAGAATGCTTTTCTTGATTGGAATTTGAAAGAAATTGTTTATATGAAGCCTCCTCCAAGTTATTCACATGCTAAATGCCATGGTTTGCAAATTAAAGAGCTCATTATATGGTCTTAAGCAAAGTCCTTGAACTTGGTTTGAATGCTTTTGTCAAGTTCTTGTTGATGCCAGGTATGTTCAGAGTTCTCATGATGAGTCCTTGTTCATGCATCACTCTACACAAGGTGTTACTTTACTTTTGATTTATGTTGACGATATGCTTATTATTGGTAGTAATAAGGAAGGTATTGCTAAGTTGAAAGAGTTACTTTATCGTTCTTTTTAGATGAAAGATTTGGGGTCACTGACTTATTTTCTTGGTTTAGAAGTTCACTCATCTTCTCGTGGTTATACGGTGAATCAACGGAAGTATGTTTTGGATTTGGTCCAATTTGCTAATTTATCTGATGATACATCTGTTGCCACTCCAATGGAAGTGAATGTCAAGCTTAGGAAGGAAGATGGTGAAAAACTCTCTAACCCTAGCTTTTATCGTCAACTTGTGGGTCGCCTCCTTTATCTTACTATGACTAGACTTGATATTACTTATGCTGTGCAAGTGGTTAGTCAATTTGTTGCAGATCCTCGGTGGTTACATCTAACGATTGTTCTTCGCATAATTCGATATCTTCATGGCACTATTTCCAAGGGACTTTTCTTTTCCTCTCATCTTTGTATGCAATTGCAAGCTTATGCAGATGTTGATTGGGCAAGTTGTCCTGATACACATCGCTCAACCACAGGTTGGTGTGTGTTTCTTGGTGACTCCCTTATTTTTTGGAAATGCAAGAAATAACAAATAGTGTCTAAATCCACTGTCGAAGCTAAATACCGAGCAATGTCTTCAGCATATAATGAATTGACTTGGCTTCGAGGATTTTTACAAACACTTAGTTTTCCTACTCCTCCTTCACCTCTTTAGGTTGATAATATGAATGCTATTCATATTGCATCCAATCCTGTCTTTCACGAGCATACCAAGCACATTAAAGTGGATTGCCACTTTATACAAAATATGTATCTTGCAGGTGCAATTACTATTCCTTATATTGCTTCTAAGCATCAAATTACAGATATTTTACAAAGGCAATGACTACTGCACGACACAAGTTTTTAGTGAGCAAACTGATGCTAGTTTCTAGCCTCAGTTTGAGGGGGAGTGTAGGAAATATAATATTTTTTATTTTGTAATTTTGCATTATAGTGAGGGTCTTTATGTAATTTTACATTGTATATAACTCTAATATAAATATGCTGCTAAGGATGAGCCGCTAGGAATGTCTTTTGCACCCTCCACTTCTACCTATGATTTTACATAGGCATCCTTAAGCGTGGTATGTAAGGGCGAAGTCAGAATTTTTTTTCAGGGGGGACGAGATAATTTTTTATGTACTAATTTACAAAATTTTTAAATTTCAAAGAGATGAAATAATTTTTCATATACTAATTTACAAAGATTTTCAAATTTCATGGGGGCTAACACCCCCCTCGCAACCCCCCTCCCTCCGCCACTGGTGGTATGGTTGTCACTTTTGCTCCTACAAGGTTGAGCAGCGAAGTTAGGTCTATTGAGATGCGTCAGGAGGCCTTTGAGAAGCTTTGCCTAGTGACAACGTTGGTTTTAAACGTATCTCTAAAATTTACCACAAGGTTGTGATATTTGTTAGTCTGTTTGTTCATTTGACAACTTTATTTTTAAATATTCAAGTTTTCTATAGGATACAAGTTAAAAGTTATAATTATTATATTTTTTTAGTATATATTAATTTATATAAAAATTTACAAAAATAAACTTTTTTTAATGTTAATGTTGTATGATATATTTTAATTGAATAATTGATAAAATTAAAGTTATTTTTTATTTTTTTCATACAAATTAATAAACTATGTAAATAAATACCCTTTTAATAAATATCTTTAAATGTGTAAACAACATAAAAAATTAGTAACTTAATCAAAATTTGAAAATGGCCCCACATAAGTGAATATAGATACACACATGGACATTTAAAGCCCGCTTAAAAGTGATAAAATAATTTATGGTCATTTTTAAAGAAATTTTGAGAAAATGGTGTGGGCTAAGCTTGTGATTATAAAGGTTCGAGGATATGGGACGCCTCCGGAATGTCAGTCAATAATGTCATACATATAAAAGGTTCTATTGAGGGGAGCGATGGTGACGACCATTAATAGAGCTATGGTCACCAAAAATTATAAAATGCAATTTTTAAAAATATTAATTTAATTTAATTTAATAAATAAAAATAATTAATAATTAATAAATTAATTAATATTAATTAATTAATTAAAATTAATTAAAAAACTAATATTTTTAAATTCTATTTAAAAAACAAATTCAAAATTTTGGTGGCTTTAGTTATAACCACACCCTGAAGTTGTTAGCTTAATCATCAAACGAAATGGTCAAGTCATAAAAAAAAATATCCAATAATGTGCCATGTTACATAGTGGGTCCCACCCAATGCTCTTTACCATTAGTTTGGCCTCCCGTAATAAGGGCTTATTTGACACCTTGAAAAAGTTTAGGGTGCGGGATGTGTTTAATTTAGGTCAAGAGGCCTATTTAATACTGATCCAACAATTCAAGGGCTAATTTGCACGCTTTGCCTTCCTCATCCTTTTCTTCCCATTTTTAAGTTTATGCTCTTCCCTCCTGCTTAAGATATCCTTTTAGGGGTTTCATTAAAAATAAAAAAATAAAAATAAAAAGGAAGAAGATATCCTTCTAGGGGTGTGTTTGGCTTTTTCGGCAATTTTTTTTTAAAAGTTTTTAGAAAGTGATTGGAAAAAGTATATTATATAAAAACTTAATAGAGAAAGTTGTTATATGAGTCTCATATAAAAAAAGTTATGAAAAACTTTTTCATTCAAAAAATGATGGGGAGAAAAGTTTAGAGCTTAGGAGTTGTATTAAAAAACATAAATGTTAAAAATATAGCATCTATTATAGTTTTGAGGTGTGTGAGTACTAAAATACTCTTTACAAAATCATGTAAGGTAATGTTTCAGTGAAAAAGTTTACCAATTATACTCTGAGGGGGTGTTTGGTTGGAGGGAAATTTTTTCTTATAAAGTTCTCTAAACTTTCTCATTTGTAAAATTATTTACGTATTTTCATACATTAATAATATAATAAAATGAGGGTAAAAGTGGTATTTTAAACATTTATTTTCCTTTACATAATTTTTAACTTATAAACTTTTCTATCCACACTTTTTGAAAGCAAAAAGTTTTCCCTTTACTTTCTCTCTATATAAGCCACCTGACAACTTTCTTATTAATTTTTTTATATCAATTTCTTACCAAATACAAAAAAAAATAATAATAATAATAACTTAACAAAATTCCAACAAAATTTATCAACTTTCTATATAGTATTTCCTAACTATATTCTTAATAGAAACTTTCCTGATAAAATTAGTCATTTAACTAAACAAGCCCTACAAGTTAAATTATCTTTGTTATATATCTCATCATGAAATATGCCAAACAAATTGTTTTATTTTATTATTTTTTTGTAGATAACATACTTTTATAATTGATTAGGACATGTTTGGTAAAATTGTTTGGAGTAAC